ATTGATCTTCTTTCTTTCTTTTTTTTTTTTAAATTTGTTTTGTGTGGTTTCAAATTAATTAATTTACAGTGTGTCTTAGTAGGAATTTATTTAAAATGGTTGTTGCTGGTAGAATTGAAAAAACTGAAATTGTGAAATTTTTAAATATTTTTGCACTCAACACGTAAAAAAGATGGCAATTGAAACCAAACACTAAAATTAATTTAACAGAACGTTCACTTAATTGCACATTTCGGCTCGATTTTTTCGTTTTCCTGCACATTTGTTTTAAGTTCTAAATACAAAAATACCGAACACCAAACTCGTGAAGAAAAAAAAAAAATGAAAGATTTTGAAATTTGGGCTTAGTTTTGCTGACCAATATTTTTAATATGATGATTATTATCAGAATTGCAACTAATAAAGGAGATAAATAAAGGCGAAATAATGGCGATACGGAGGTTAAAGAACTTGGAGACGACGGAGCTTGGCATGGCCGAGCAGCGGCTGCTCCACCGCAAAATTGCTCATTTTTAGGCCGCCTTTTCAGCTCTTTATCCTTACTCTCTCTATTTATCGTCATAATTTTATTTATAATATTTTTATTTTTGGAAGATTTAACGTTTTAATTATTTCTTGATGACTCCACCTGTAATTTATTTTACTGACTTCGGTTCTTCCTTCTTATTTTTCTTCTTAATTATCTTCACTCTAAAATTCTAAGTAACATTTTTTTTGTATCTATTATTATTTTTTATTTTTATTTTTGGTTTCTTTCTTGTTGTTTGATGGAAAGTATGAAGAACCAGCGATGTTTACACTTGTTTTTTTTTTTTTTCTTTCTTTTATTTTTTTCTCTGTGCTTAAGGTTATTCTTATTTTGTATGCATAACTAATAAATTTTAAGTTGGCAGCTCTTGATATCCAAATAGAGGGAGAGAAAAAAGTACATCCTTTTCAATAAAGAAATTAATGTGGATTGCTTGATTTCATGATTCGTAATTATGATTATGATGATATGATGAATTTGAAATTGATATCGCATGAAATTTAATTGGACAATGAGTTCCTATGTGAAATTGAGTAATAAATTCCCGTATGGTCAGATATGACTTGAGCTAATGATGTGAGTAACGTCATTATATGATTTAAATCGAAAAATAAATTGAAATAATTTAATATTAATTTTTCGAAAAGTCTAAAATTTTTTTTAAAAATAATTGGGAATCATTTTTTTTTCCCCTCATACAACAATCCATTCCCACATTATGTACAATTATTAAGGGCTAAGAATATGTCATCAAAATTTTATCTAAAACAAATAAAATAGCAAGAGCTTAGCATAGTGTTGATAAACGGATTTAATCAACGTTCACAATGTAATTTTAACAGAAAAGATTGCTGAAAATGAGATTTTTATTGAATATTTTGAAGTCGGTTTTATTACAAAGAGGTCGGTTTTGTAGTATATTTCAAGTCTGATTACCGAGTTGAGTATATGAGTATGTATGATTGTTTTTCGAACCCTTCTCTCGTTTTCGGAACTGCTATTTATAGGTATGTTTGGCACACATCCCTAGACAAATCATTCCCATTTTAATGAAGATTTGACATCTTAGGGGCGGCGATGACATAGAAGAATCTTGTAGGCAATGATTAGCATGGGCGCGCCTCTACTTGTGTGACGAGTGTCACATCTGTCGGATCGAAGTCGGCTTGTCTTGCGATGTCGGTATTTTGATTGATTTCCGACGTTCTACGACTTCTTAATAAGTAATTCTTTGACCGAATTGGCCTTCTTCGAGGTTCAGACGACTTGTGTTGATGACCTCCACATATCCGAAAATTCTGCGGTATCATTTACGAGTACCGAGATGAGATTACCGAGATGCAAATATGCACTGCTTGACGTCGTCCAGAATCCAGTTTAAGAGTTAAATTTCACGATTTCTTTAATGTTACCATAACACCAAGATAATCTACCTTGATATCAACATAGAGGCCCCTGGCATTAAGAAGTATGCGGATTACGCATACTTTTTGATGACACTTTCCCTCCAATCGCTCTTTATTCCCGAGTTGATTTAAAGATCTCCTTCGTGAACTTATGCCGAGTTACTTTCCTTAGACAAAAATCAAATAGTTTGGTTCTTTTATCAAAGTCGTTGTGTACTGTGAGGAGTTTATTGTGCGGTTTTCGAGAGGTCGCAAACGTGGTGTCTCCATTACTCTTCATAATAAGCACGTACCGAAATTTCCGAAAATTAACGTTGGCGGTTTTTGGGACACGCGTACGTACGAGATTGTATCTGAACGTTATGTCACCATAAGGAGGCACTTCTCTGAATCGACGCGTCACTTAACCACGCGCCTCTCCATCTTCAACGGTTAGAAAACTGCGAGAGTATATATATATAGATAAATTCACGGTTTCTATTCACTAAATCTTCATTTAAGCAACTTCTCTCTCAAACTATCTTTTGCATATTTCGCCTCTTCCCTTTCACCTTCCTCGTCGTGTTTTCAGCAAATCCCGAAACCTTTGAGATTTTACTTCACTTTTCGGTAAGCCCTAATTTCTTCTTTTCGCTTTATAATTTCTTCATATCGTTTTTCTGGGTTTTAATCATGGTGGTGAGTGGTGAGAACGTTGGTACGGGCAGCAGCAGTAGGACTGTGTCTGACCTGAGGTGGGACGAGGAATTAATGGAGTTGATGGGGGATTATTATCGGTGGGACCCTGTATTTGTGGAGCGTCTGGAGATTCGCAAACGTGACATTGATGGAGATGCCGAGGTGGAACGGGACGTTCCTGTGAGGTCGGGTTATTGGAATCGTCCAGCCCGTCGATGGCCCGATGAAGATGTTCCATTTTTGGGGGAACCCAGTACCATGACCGACGCCGACGTGGTTCTCCTCCGTGAGTGTGTACGAATCCCTGCCTCGGTAAGAATTTTCGCCCCCTATCCGGGGGAAAGGATTCATTGTCCTCCTCCGGGTTGTATAGGGATTTTTGCTGAAAGTCTGAGGTCGGGCTTGAGATTCCCACTAGACAACGTCATAACCGACTATCTGCGCGATTGGGGTCTCAGTCTCAGCCAGATCACTCCCAATAGCTGGAAGAAGATTATTGGGATTATGGTTCTGTTAGCACAAAAGAAAATCCCCTTCCCCACCATCGACGAGATGAGAAGCATTCTGTTCTTTAAGAGGAGTAGGGAGCGGGATGGAGTTCCTCCCACGGGTTGCTTTTTCTGTGCGGCGAGGCCTCAATACGAATTGAAGATAGGACAATTGGTCACTGGGATACCTGAAACCCTCCATGGTTTTCAGGACGAATGGTTATGGGTTGGAGGAGATTGGCAGTCTCCCGATTTCCGACTTGAGGCCCCAATTGATGGGATGACTGTCCCAACCCGAGTTGTCTCTTCTTTCCGTAAGTTCTTCTCTTTCATTCAGAATTTCCTGACAGGTTGTTTTTCTTTCGCTAACAGGTCGGACCTTTTCGTATTTGTAGCAAAAAGAAAGAAGGAGCCGAAATTGAGCGGGGAGTTTAGAGATAAACTTGAGGAGATCGCAAAACTCAGTGTAGCGGACCGCAAATGGAATTTGCTGACCAAGAACGCTAAGCTTGCTGAGGCGAAACTTGGACCAAAAAAGGCCATCCCCGATTTCGAACCTGGTGAGTTCTCATAATATCAATCTAGTTCATGGCCTCAAACTAGCTGAATTCATTGAATATCGATATAATTTTGGTTATTTGCTTTCTTCCGTCAGTTTACTATCCGCTATTAGGATTTTTCGGATTCCAATCAGTTCGAGAAGCAAAAGATTATCGCCGTAGATTTTCAGTGAAAGATACCGAGATGGGTCGCATGAATTTCTTGGCTAACTTGAAGAAGAAGGCTGTTACGGGTCGTACTGCGACGGGTGATGAGATTGGAGTTACGTCAGGTACACCAACTGCGGCCGCGGTACCGGCCCCTGTCAATGAGCCGGTTGTCGAGCCCCTTCCTGAGGCGACTACCGAGTTAATGGTTGTTACTCATTCTCCACTTCGGGAGGCTGAGAAGGAAACTGAAGCTGCTCGTCCTGAGCTTCATGTTATCGTCTCGAGCTCAGAGGATGTCGAGGCTATTCAGAAAACAGTGGGAGAAGCTTCTTCTCAACAGAAAAAGAAGAAAAAGAAGAAGAACAAGAGGAAGGCAAGTGAGGAATTGGATGTTGACCAGGAACGTCGTTCGAAGTCTAGGCAGGATGTCGGCCAGCTTGAGTTGGAAAGGAATGCTCCAGTCCATCAGGATGGAGGAGACACGTATCTACCGATCGATGAGGAGCGGATCTTGGAGCAGAATCTGCCAGAGGACGTGATGGAGAAGTGGTTTACTCAGTACCATTCCATGATCGTCCCCAAATTCAACAACAAATTTCACCAGCCTCCTCATGTGCTAGAAGCAGCTCGGGTTCCAATGATGTCTTGGGATCCGGCGACTGAGGCTCGAGTATCTGGGTTGTCGAGCTCATACAGATTCAGCTATGCCAAAGCAACATTGGGGAGGGCTTTGGTGGGCCTTTGCGCGATGGAAGACGAATTCAGGATGAATGCCGCTGCACTCAACGAGCGGAAGGACAAACTGGAACTTCGTGACGGTCAGCTGGCGTCATTGGAGGCGGATAAGGCCAGCCTGACGACCGAAATCGAAGACAAAAATGCCCAACTTGTTGCGGTAAAAACCGAGATGGAGAGTTTGGCTACCGAGAAGAAGCGCTTGGAGGACGAGGTGCGCAAGCTTACTGCTCAAATCGGTGCATCCGAGATGGAAGCTCGGAATAACTTGAACCGCTACCAGAAGGAGATGGAAGACCATCTGCGAACTCGGGAGGAGCATCAGAAGACTCGTCAGGACCGAGCTGAAAAGGAGGCGAGACTGATCCGCTTGGCTGAAGCACACGCTGCCGAGTTGAAAAATTTAGAACAACAGAAGGAAGCTTTCGGTGAGCTGAAGTTCGCACAAGGGTTAGAGGAAGGCAAGGAACTCGGGAAACAAGAGTTCAGAGGTTCGGAGGAGATGGAGAAGGACATCGAGCTCAATTCTTGCCTCAATCTCCGTTGGGTGATCGATAGATTTGACGCAGGACTGTATGGCGTAGGAGATCTGAAGGCCATCATGCTTATGAAGATGGACAGGTTCGGGTTCGACCCCGAGATTGAAGAACTCCACGTCCCTGCCGACGATGACGAACGTGCTTATTGTGAGTTGGTTTTGGCCAACACTGACGCCGACGTGACAGCTCGTGGATATCCTCCTCTGGACCCCAACAGACGAGCTGCTCTGCGAAAGGCTTATGTGAACATGGTTTTGGAGGGAGAGAAAGAGAAGAGGGCCGAGTTTGCTGATGTGTTTATTTCTACCCTCGCCGACTTCACTGTCGAGAAGTGTCTCGAAGTGTTAACCCCGGCCCAGATTAAGAAAGAGGTTGTAGATTATGCTGAGAAGTTCATCGCCTCTGCTGCTGAAAAAGATCTCGAGGGAACC